AAGTGGGTATTTGGTTTGAACCACAAGCCACAAACACAAGCCAATGTATGAAATGGACCATGTCTTCTAGAACTGATTTTGACTATAGATAAGTCACTACATAGTGATACTTCTTCTGAGTAAGATCAGACTTGAAAAGGGATCATGTCTTTTTTCTGCCTTTACTATTTCTAGCCCCATGTACTACTCTTGCACTTCCACAGCATCTGCTGTTTGAATTGCTGTTCGAATATATCAGTCAAGTAAATCTCACAATACTTGGGTAAATCTTAATCCATTAATGCATGCAAAGCCAAGGCACAAAGAAGTGATTTATATAATTGTGAATACTAATGAGTATGTGCTTCAAGATGATTACATTCCGTGCACTTATAAACTCTTCTGAAGACATAAACTGTTAAGAAATAAAATGAGCTTTGCTTCCCTTACTAGTTTGTTTTTTTTTTTTGAGAAATAAACTTGAATATTCAATTATGGGTTTATTATTCTGTGAATCAGTTTACAGTGATCAGTGGATATAATTTTTAGTATGAAAATGTTATTTGTGCATATTACAGTTCCAGGCATATATTATCCTTTCATGAAAACATTTCAATCTTCAAGTCTTTATGCAAAAGATTGGCCCGTGGGCTCTGCACAGGATGTAAATTAAGTTCTTGTTTGGCTAAATCTGATTACCCTGTAGGGTACCAATCTTGCTTAGTGACAGTGGAAGCTAAAAATTGCAAGCAGGACAGTCCACTTGAAATGGGGCCAGGAAGGGTCAGTTTCTAAACAGCAAATCTGAAGTTTGAACTAGATTTTTAATAGCATGCCTAAGAATTTTCAGTTAAACATAGAAGCTGTCTCCTCCATAGCTCCTATCATTGCTTTTAAAGACCATAATGAAATTGAGAAAAGCTCTTCTTTTTTTAAGTACAAGTCTTTATTAATCATATGTAAAGATGCTGCAATCACTTTAACCCAGCCTTTAGTCAGTCTGCAGCTTAATTCCCATTTGACACTTCCTCTTTCTCCTCTCATATTCTATCATAATTCATGGTCCAATAGAGAAATTCAGTGAATAGCAAAATGCCACACAGACTATCAAAAGAAAACCACCTCAAGTCAATACAAACTAAAACTATTTGAATATTACCAAAATACTGTTGCTTTATTGTGGACTTACTGAGCACATGAGAGGGACTAGAAAGGTACATGCTGACACTACTGAATATGAACTACTGCTGTTCCTTCTGACAGGATTAGCTAAATACTTAAATGATAAGAACACTCCCCTGTATTTTTCCTATACTCAGAAAATGTGCACAGAAAAGTCACTCTTTGATCTATTTCACTAGCTTCAGTTACTGTAGCAGGCTTTTGTATACATAAAATTTTATTTTTAGTAGTCTTTGGCATCTCCTTAGCTTTCCTTTGATGTATAAAGGTTTTATGATCAATAATATCTAAAAGCAGCTGGTGTTATTGCAATTGCTCTGAGTCAAGGATAATAATGCAACACTGGTGAAAATGATACGGTTTTTGGCTGTTCAGAAAATGTAATTATCTCAGTAAATGCATGTGGTTTTTAGTAATGAGATTCAAAATTTCAGACAGATTAATTTTAATAACATCTTTTCACAGTGGTTCTATTAGATATTTTAAATCTATTTAAATCAGACCTCAACACTTACCTAATAGATAAATACCTCACTCCCTCAATAGGTTTAAGATGAAGGGACTCAGCACTCCACACAGAATCCTAATGAATTTGAAGGGGGAAGAGGATAGAACCAGGACTGGAGATAGCCTGGGGGCAACACACCAGTGTCTGAGGGATGGTGTGCTGGGGAGTTCCTTTCATCTGTCGTCCCATGGAGACTGGGGATGGATTTCCATGTGGCAGCAGTGACACAATGGATATTGATGTGTTGGAAACCTCAGAAGTGCCTGAGAATGATCACATGGAAGGTCCTGCTTGACTGACCCAATGTCCTTCTGTGACAAGATGACCTGCAGAGAGGATGAGGGAAAGGCTGTTCCCTCCTAGGCTTTGTTCCCTTCTAGACTTCAGTAAAGCTTTGACAGTGTTTTCCACAGTATTCTCCTGGAGAAATTGGCTGCTCATGGTTTGGATGGGTGCACTCTTCACTGTTAAAAACTGTCTGGATGGCTGAGCCCAGAGTGCTGGTGAATGGTGCTGCATCCATTTAGCACCCAGTCACAAGCAGTGTTCCCCAGGGAGCAGTGTTGGGGCCAGTTCTGTTCCATATCTTTATCAATGACCAGGATGAGGGGATCCAGGACCCCCTCAGTGTGCAGAAGACACCAAGCTGGGCAGGAGAGTGATCTGCTGGAGGGCTCTGAACAGGCTGGATGGATGGGCCAAGGCAAATGGTGTGAGGGTCAACAAGGACAAGCAGAAGTCCTGTCAACAGTGTCTGACCATGAGGCAAGAGTGTGCCCAGGTGGCCAAGAAGGCCAAAGCCATCCTGGCCAGTGTCAGCAATGGTGTGGCCAGCAGGAGCAGGGCAGTGACCATTCCCCTGTACTCTGCACTGGTCACAGCCATCCTGGCCAGTGTCAGCAATGGTGTGGCCAGCAGGAGCAGGGCAGTGACCATTCCCCTGTACTCAGCACTGGTCACAGCCATCCTGGCCAGTGTCAGCAATGGTGTGGCCAGCAGGAGCAGGGCAGTGACCATTCCCCTGTACTCAGCACTGGGCACAGCCATCCTGGCCAGTGTCAGCAATGGTGTGGCCAGCAGGAGCAGGGCAGTGACCATGCCCCTGTACTCTGCACTGCTGAGGCCACAGCTCAGCTGCTCCGTGCAGTTCTGGGCCCCTCAGTTGAGGAAGGACAGAGAGGTCACTGCTGGAGTGTTCCTGCTCTCTGCAACCACCCCAGAGGAGGTTCTGGAGAGGTGAGAGTCACTCTCCCAAGTCACAGAAAAGGGAGAGGAAATGGCCGGAAGCTGCACCAGCAGAAGTTGAGATATTAGGAATAATTTCTTCACCAGAAGGGATGTCAGGCAGTTGAACAGGCTGCTCAGGGAGATGGTGGAGTCACTGTCCCTGGAGGTATTTAAAAGACAAAGCAGCTCACAGTATCCTAGCATGGTCCAGTGTATGCTGATACTGGTTTTGGGTGACAAACACTAAAATTACATGTTCAGAAAACAGTTTTAACTGTGAATTTACAGAAGCGCGATCGAAACCTTCCATTTGAATTCCCACAGCTCCCCCATGCCAAATAACACATATCTGCATGATGAAGCACATTAGCTCATCTGACATCGAACAGTTTTTATCTTGGATTAGTTTGAGTAGTGAATCAATTTCCTGATCTGGTTCAGCAGGCAGACACAAAAATGTCTGTGCTAATGGAAGTGAGCAGCTCAGAAATGAAAATGCTTTTGATTGACCTCTACCCATTTAAAGCATATGTGAAACCACCTTAGGGATGTTCTACACAGGCTGTCAGAACATATGGCCATAAACCACCAGTCCACTGGGGCTCTGGTCTCTCCCTTTCTGGGATATTTTCTTGTATTATCCAATTATTGTTTTACATCAGAACTACCTATTAAAGTGTGCATTCACATTGTGGTCAAATTTTACATACTGTAAGATATGATTTACTGTAAAGCCCTGAAGAATTATATGACATACCCACTATAGTCTATTTCAAAAATTTGTTGTCCTAAACATGGTATTTTGTAAATTTTTAATATATACCCTATACAGTAACTGATGCAATGTAACATTCACAGATACTTTCAAGGTGTTGGCTATTATCTCAGCAAACACCATTAATCAGTGTTTTCATTTACTAATATGTAAAATCACAATTCAATGGCCACTTTAGTCTGATAATATCATAGTTGCATGAAACACTGTGATCTGCTACTGTATTAGTAATTTATTTAACTTATTTCATTTTGCAGAAAATTATTATAGCTGATGTGGACAAAGCTCTTTTTGCTCCAGTTGAAAAAAGTCTGTGAACAAACCATGTCATGTTTGGATATGAAAAATAGGTCAATGGCTACTGAGATGATGCTTCCAAAAGCAGAACCTTCCCTACAGCACAGCTTTAGGAAAACACTTCATCTGACAGCATACATTCTTTTTAACAGAATCCTCTTAGTAGGTACTGGATAAAAAAAAAGTAATTTAACTGTAGAAATGGACAGAGAGAAGATAGTGAGGATTGAGACTTCTTTTAATTTAAAAATGGCACAATATTTTAGGACTTCACTCAAACCAAACTTCTTCCAATTGCTGTTACTTACCTGGAGGCCAAAAAAAACAACCCTCAGACAAGTTATTTTAAGTGCTTTGGTGAAGCTGGTGAGAATAGCACACTTTTGGGGAAGAAATGAACCAGGAGAAAGCAGTGCATGCTTGTAGTAATGTCATTCTTCATGCAGGAGTTACCAGTTTTGTCTTCTACCAAGATTAAATGATGGGTAGCACATTTGTTAAATTGCTCAGCAACTAAAACATTTACCAATCATGGATCAGAGGAGCTCTTGTCCAAGGGAGGCATATTTCTCTTAATTAAGAAAAAGAAAATCTAAGAAGATCCTATTGCACAGCACTTTATATGAAATCATACCTTAAATCTTTATCAAAATAGCAGATAATCACACTGAAGAGAGGATTATTCTAAACTGATTGTATATATACTCTCAATTCAAACTTGTTCCTTCACCCATATTGTATTACTTATGGGTAGCTACTGCCCCAGACAGGCAACTGCTGCAAAATGAGGAATTTTTGTCTTTATATAACAATACAGTTAGTGGAGACATCATTCTGAGACCAGACTTCAGGTGCAGCACACAATCTCATATTATTTAGCAGCCATAAGTCTATAGTAAAAACAGGACACTCATTACCCATTCCATCTGACATGAACAAGGAACAGCTTTTGAAAGTTTTCTTCCTTGTGTTTTGGTGGAGAAATATTTTAGATATTCTTGGAATAAAGGGTAAAGGAAATCTACATACTGATTATAAATTAAGACCAGTGTTGACTTTTATTTACATAATTTAACAAACAAATTCAAGTAACTATTGCATCAATCATTCAAATTTTCAACATTACTATAAACCACAAATTTATAGCATATAGTGTTGCATTCTTCATGGAGCTGTGATCACTGTTCTACATTTTTCTTTCTCCGACGAGAAAGCCACCTCAGAGCTCTCACCAGTGCAACTTGTCCCATGAGGAATGTGATCCTAAAGTTTTGTTTATACCAATCTCTAGGATTCCAAAGCCAAGAAAATAATCAGCACACAGAACAAGAACAGGAAAAAGATACACAATTATATTAAAATATCCTTTGGCACTGCCAAACTGTGTTCTTTGTGGGAACCCTTTTCCTGCCTAATAAGAGTTAAATAACCTATGAAAAAGTCTGTGTATATCCACATTCAGGAACAGATTACACATGGATTACATGGTTGCAGCTGCATTTGAAATCAGCTGAGATAAAATAGTTAAAACTGTCTCATGTTTCAGAAGTAAAGCAGATCACCAAGCTATCTGGACTACCTGCCAGTGCTGTGCTTCAGGTAAAATTTGTTTGTGTGTGGATAAAGATGCCTGTGTTAAAAAGGGCAGAGTTGGTCTCATACAAGGATGGCAAAAAATAAAATCAAACCACACTTCAAAGGCTAATTGTATAACTCAACATTACCCTTCTACTGCAGTATCTTTTAAAGATAATGTCTTTAATATTGTCAGTTAGTCTTTATATCTTTAAATAATTTAATTTTTATTAATCATGCACGGTGTCTGGAACAAATTAAAATTATTCACAGTATAGTCTGCATCAGCCCTTTTTAACCTCTGCAAACTAGCTTCAAGTTCTCTGCCCTGTTACAAATTAAAATAATACCAAATTTTTTTTCTAGTTTCTAACAAGGATCTCACTTCCATGTTGTAAAATGCTCACAAGAAGCAATAGGATACATAGAATTCTGTAACTAGAACACTAGGATTTAGGTCTTCTCCTGAGATGTCTGGGGCAAACCTTGCATGCACAGCTCTAACATAAGCCTGAGATACCAACCCCTCAGTGAGGACAGCAGCCAAATTCACACTGACAGGCAGCACTGAGCTACCCCTTCAATTGTCATGTTAAATAAAAGTATCATGCTAGCATTGCAACTGTTTCTTTTCCTCTTTCACCTTTAATTTACTACATCCTTCTTGAATTTTTTTCCAAAACCAAACTCTATTTCCAGTCTAAGTACCCTGAACTAGATATTCAAGGCATCTATGCACAGTCATTGCTTCAATTTTAACTACATTTTAGAAGTTGCAACACTTCAGCTGCCAGTTTTCAGGCCAGCTGGCAATACTGCAAAAGAACATACAGCTAAATGCATAAACAGATTTTTATAAATATGACCCCTCAGAATCAGACTGCCTGTAAAAAGCTCTGCTGTTTTCAGTGCTGTTCAGTTCCACTTTGAAACTACAACAATTCAGCCAACAAAACTTGATTTTCCAAGTCAGCAGCAAGGAAGGTCATGTTTAAGCACAAAGCCTGAATTTTCTTCCCCTGAAGATGGGACACTATCCTAAGGTCACTGCAACAATGCCAACTGGTAACCAGTTCTAAGATTAACTATTTGCATTCCCACTTATCAATTATAGGCAATGTATTGCCAATCCTTTCACTAAAAACAATTTCTTACTTTGCATCTTTTCGTGCTGTTGCTTTGGATTATGATGAGGTTCCCCCCTGCCCCTCCATGGGCAAGATAAGATGTGTAGATTTAAATATCTGTTAGTTAAATTGTTCTTACAGGATTTTACAGTGTTTTATGGTTTATGCACAATATACAAGGAAACTCAAGCCACCATTGGTTACAGACCAGCTGCAGTGATGGCTGAACTCTCACTGGCATCTCACCATGAGGAACCCAGACACACCTGACACTTTTGAGCCCAATAATCTCCCAATCCACTACAGAGAGGAAACTGCAGTTCTGCTTTCACATTCAGTGGTCAGCATTCCTTGGTTAAGTGCTGTCTTCCTTCACCTTCCCATTCCTCCCTCACTTCCAGCCCTTTCTCAAGTGTGCACAGCTACTTGCAGGGGTATGTGAGTTTGCAAGTCATTTTTCACCCCTTTCAGATCCCCAGTCCAGTTTATCAAGTTGTTGTACACACAGTGACACTGAAACAAGGCAGGAGATGCTCTGAAGAGTTGGATGTGGGTTCACCAAGCTGTAGCTGAGATTCTACCCAGGTCAAGTGATCAATTTATGCCTTGTCAAACTCAAAAGCTGATCACTTTTTTACTAGACACTTGCAAAATAATAGACCCAGGATTATTAAATATTACACCCATTAAATGATTTTCCTTTGAGATAAATCATTTACTTGTCCTTATTTAACAGTCAGCTAGAATCTGTTATCCAGAACTTTCAAGTGGTCTATTTGCATATTTATCAGTTTCAATTAGCAGCATGAAAAGACCTGTGCCCTAAGATAATAAAATGTGCCTGATCTTGTCTCTTGAAATCTCAGACTTGAGCTTATCTTTCCATTAAAACAACAATAAGCAGCAGCAGAACTCAAATGATAATGCAGATTCGCCAAATGCTAATAATAGCATTAAAAATATAATTTTCCAAAATTACAAGGATTTGTGCTGTTTTACCAATTACAGAAAAAATGTTCAAATTTTAAGCTTGATCTTATACCTTTCACTTAAACTGTAATGTATAATGGTCAACATAAATACCTGCTACATACCTGTTGTACTGCAAATGCTTTTTAAAATTTTTACTTAGAAAGTCCTTGTAAAAGTCAGCCATTTCCTCTGCATTCAGCGTTGCTTTTCGACCTGAAAATAGGTTTTGGTGTAACAAAGTCAAGGCAATTCTTTGGATCAAAACACTGGGTTCAGATGCTAGGTCTAACTCCTTGCTCCTACAAGCTTTCTGTGTAAACCTGAACAAGTTAATGTCTTTAACTTTCAATCTTTTAAGACTTATCTAGAGAGCACAGCAGATTAAAAATACTGATCATCTTGAAGCTGGCATAGTTCTTAAAGCCCTATTACTTGTGCAAGTAATAGTTTATCAGCTCTTAGACTGTTTAGGGAAGCAGTGAACCCCTATGAAAATGTGCATAGATCTAGGAGTATCTTCCTTTGAATAAAATAATTTCTCACAGGGTTGAAGCCTAAAGAGTACCAATAAGAGCATTTAGTAACTTAAGTTCCCCCCCCTAAAGCAAGTCCATAAATATCAAAAGAACACTATCCACAACTGACATGGTATTTTCAGATGTAATTCTTTTTCTATTACTGTTAATAAATTCCAAGTAACTTCAGGCAAAAAGTTTATGTTCTGAGATATGAGACTTCCAAACAATCTAGTAGGCAATTATTTTGAGAACAAAAGATTATTTTGAATATGTCATTCATAGCCAGAATATAAAAGGTCCAGGAAGACCTGTGGCTATAGCACAAGATGTCTAATCCTGAGAACCAGCAAATATTCTCAACTCTACCAGACAATTCCTACACAACCCTTCTGGCACAAAATGTCCCTAAAATGACAGTCAAATTTCAATGCCCCAGGGATCATGGATAGGATGATGGAAATGGAATTGCAATATTCAACTTGCTACGCTTCCAAAATGCATTTTAAGGCTTTTGAGACTGACCACAGAAATGTAAATTATTGATTGGTTCTATTTGTCATTATTAAAAAAACTAATATACCACAATGTATTAACATACTATAGGATAAATTAACTATAAAACCATTTGAAAACTGTTAATAGTTATAGTTAATTTGTTTCTTCATACTGGTATCAGCAAAACTGATTCATTACATAGGAAAGTAAGTTTTGTTACAACTGTTTGTGTATATTTTTATTTTTACAAACATTCACAGCTGTATTATAGAATAGCTGACCAAAGGCATGCAGTTGATATAGATTTATTTTTAATGGAAGTATGTGGTCACTCTCTTTTACTTCTAGAGTGTAAAAGCAAAACAAAAAAACAACAAAACAGCAGTATAAAAGAAGTGGTTTTGAAATAACATAGATCTTAATTAAAATTACTTCTCAAGCACACACTGATCACCAGAATACAAACAGAAAAGAAAAATAATGGTCTGTGACATACAGAACGTCAGAGCAGATGCTTCACTGAACTCAAACAGATCATTATTCTGTGAACAAAGTGTTCAACCTCATACTACAATGCTCAATTCACTATTATTATGAAGGCATTTTGTTTTCATTTTCACACAATGAATTAGAGGGACAACTATTTTACAGTAACTGTGCCCAGGCAGAGACAGGCAGATAGCAGCTGCCTTGCTCTCCCTCAAGGAAAAATATTGTGTTCATTGGACACAGCAGGGACCTGAAGCCAAAGACTGGGAATTTATCTGCCCAACCATAACATGCACTTGAGGCAAATGCTCTGTATGTTTATCTCAGCCAGCTCACTGGCTTAGGAGGTGTGAAAGTAAAAAGTCCCTTCCTCCTCAGGCTACACAATTATTATATTACTGGGCTAGGATTTCAGCACATTCCCTCTGGCTGCAGGGAAGGAATTAGGGGGAGAACAGTGCAACAGATGACCTGACCCCCACATGCACGTCTCTGAAAAGCTCCTTGTCTCTTTTATAATCACACTCCTGAAAACAGTTCTAAATCCTACCCCTAAGATTTACTTTTGACAGAACACAAAGAGCATAAACTAATAATATTCAAAGTTAAGCAGAATTGAGAATGCATCCTAAACTATTAATGAAGATCTCACTAACCTGATTCATCTCTCATTTCCAGACCCTTGGCTTTCAGTCTTGAATAAATAAATTCTTCTTTTTCCTAAAACATGTTTTTCCACATTAGAATGGGATGTAGTCAGTCCTTGAAGTTAACCATTGGTTTTAATTACATAGCAATGTGGTGTTCAACATCCTTTGAAAGAACTAGCAATACTTGTTATACTTGCAAGTGTCAACTAAACATTTTTCTTAGTCTAGTGAGTTAAACTGGTCACTTAGATCCTGCTACCTGCATGCATCAATTAATTCATGCAAGTGTCCTACTGATACTCATAAAACTGATTTGTGGAGTAAAGCTACAGCCAAACTTCAGTGTTGTTTGACAGAAGTCAAACTTTCAGTTTATAAAGCAAACTATGGAAACGTGCTGTACTGTATAACTGAGATTTTGAGCATAGAGAAAAACAAGCAGCCTAAAAAATTAAAATTATTTAGATGGAAGCACAGAAATCATTTGTGTGTGGGTTTTACAGACTTAAAAACAGTTCTGTGGAATTAAAAAAAAACCAAGCTTCATTTTTTCTGTGATCATTGCAAGTTTTGAGAAGATATGATGTTCAGCATCATAAACAATGGTGAATTACTGAACTGTTACTGTTCTTCCAAAAAATGCCACATTGGCTGGGAGATGCTAAAATCAGGAAAGACAGACTCACTTTAGCCTTACTGGGATACGCTGCCCAGTGAAATGGGACATGTCATTTACCCTCATTTAGCAATTTTGGTAATTACACCAAATTTCTTTCCTCTCACTTATGACAAGAGAAAAACCAGCCATGAAATAATTTTCAACAGCTGCTCTAGCCACAGACAGGTCCAGCATGTAGAGCAGCTGCAACTTCATACTTTCAGTGCAAGACAGGAAAAAGGCAAATACTCTATGCCACTAGGCAGCAACACGTGGGATGTTTAGTTTTGTGCATCATCTAAATAAACGAACGACAAACCCATCATTTCCCCCGTGACCCTGAGCGCATTAACAGCGGGCAGAAGCGAGCCCCCGGGTTTCGGGCAGCCAGGGGAGCAGCAGCGGGTGCGGGCCCGGCTCGCTCACCTGGCGGAAGGCGCGGTTGTGCCGTGCCCAGAAGCGCTGGTTGCTGGCCTGCGCCTCCTGGCGCGCCTCCCGCAGCCGCCGCTCCAGCGCCGACTCCTCGGGGGGCACGTAGAAGATGACGGGGCGCAGGTTGGAGAGCTTGTCCGGGGGCCCGATCCAGTCACTGTGAGAGTGCGCGGGGGGACGGAAACCCAGGCCCTGCGGAGCACAGACACAACGCGTTACCAGCACCTCTGCCGAGCTTCTGAAGGACCTCGCAATTTGGAATAAATTCCCAAACGCCACGGAGCATACAAACATAGCAAGCTCAGAAATAAAGCAGATTTATTTACTGTGACCATTTTTTAAAATTTTCTTTTAAAATTTATTTTTCTAGCACTAATACTCAGTTAAAATATTTCACCGAGAGAACCAGCAAGTATCCCAGTTTTTTGCGGGGCTGATCTCTGCCCTCTGGCGACCAGTGACAGCACCCGAGGGAACAGCGTGAAGCTGTGGCAGGGGAAGTTTAGACTGGATATTAAAGGCTCTTCACCCAGAGGGCTGAGGGTCACTGAAACAGACTCCCCAAGGACGGGGTCACGGCTCCAAGCCTGACAAGCTCGCGGAGCTTTTGGACAACTCTCTCAGTAGTGCGATTCTTAGGGCTGTTCTGTGCAGGGCCACGAATCGGATCTCGGTGATCCTTGTAGGGGCCTAGAAATTCATATTTTATAATTCTGCGATTCTAAGTTTTCCTCAGCCCGGCGTTCTTCCTGCATCCCTGTGCCCACACACAGGCGTGCGCCTGCCCCAGCCGAGTTCGGAACACCTGGGGTTAGCCCACAGCCCGGACCTCAGCGCCCCTCCAACACCCAACACCGGGGGCCTCGGCAAACACATAAAAACCAGAGGCCGCGGGGATCGCGGTTTGCTGCCGGCTGCCCCCGCCCCGCCGGCGTTACCGGGAGCCAGCCAGAGCGCTCCCCACTCAGGGCTCCGTGGGGGCGGCGGCCCCCGAGGCTTCCCCCACGGCCCCCGCAGGAGCCGCCGCCCCCCGCCGGGTTTACCACGCTGTCCGGCCGCTCCCCGCGCTCAGCCGCGCGGCCGCTGCCGGAGGAGGCGGAGGAGGAAGCGGAGGCGAGGGGGTGGCGGCGGTAACAGCCACCGGCCCGCAGCACCCGGGCGGCCGCCATGGCCCGGCGCTTTACGGCGCTGCCGCGCGGGGGCTGCGGGCGGGGCGGGGCCAGGTCGGGGCCGGGCCCGGGCCCGCCTCGGCCTCCGCCTCCCTGTACGCGGCCGGGCCGGGCGGGGCTCGGGCGGTTCGCGGCGCTCGGCCCGTGGCGCAGCGCCGGGCCGGGCAGCGGGTCCTCGCTGGGCGGCGGGTGAGTGAGTGAGTGACTGCGGCGGGTCGCGCGCGCCGCGCGGGTTCGCTGCGGGGCCGGTGGGGACGAGCCTCCCGCAGGTGCCTCGGCGGCGGCCCGGTTTCATTTCCTCTTCCCGCTGCGCCGGGCCCCACCGCGGGGGAGGCGGGAGGTTGCGACCATGGCGGGGGCGACGAGTTCAAAGAGGCAGCAAGGTATGTGCGGGGACGGAGCGCTGCCCCGCGGCTGTGGCGCCCGAGGGCGGTCGGGTTCGGCCGCTGTTCTCCCCTCGCTCCGGGTTTTCCCCTGGGCTGCGGGTGCCCTGTTTGTTCTGCGGCGGCTTCGGCCGCAGAGCAGGTGGGGAAGGCTGGGGGTGAGCAGCCTGGACTGGGCGTGTGGCAACTAAAGCGTCGCCCCTGCGGCCCGACCGGGAGAAAGGTGTAAAAAAATTAAAAGGTTATGAAATATCAGCTGAGCGGTTTAGTCGTATTGGTGAAGGTACTTAACATAGCTGTAACGCTGAAGTGCTTCAGAATGGAGAAGTTGCAGTGTGTGCTCGTGTAGCACTTAAGCAAGTCTTGTTGTCGTTTTCCTTGTAGTTCGTCAGAAGCTGGACTGGGGAAGAGGAATGGATATGGGTAACCAACACCCATCCGTAAAACGGTTACATGAAATACAGAAGGAAGTAAAAGAGATCGAACAGCAAGTGGCTGTCTTCAGCGGTCTGTCTACCGACCGAGATTACAAGGAATTGGAAAGAAACCTTACGAAACAGCTTTTTGAGATCGATTCTGTAGACACCGAAGGGAAGGGGGATATTCAGCAGGCCAGAAAGCGAGCTGCCCAGGAAACTGAGAGGCTGCTGAAGGAACTGGAACAAAATGCAAACCATCCGCGCAGACTGGAAATAGAGGCTTTATTCAAGGAGGCACAGGCTCTTGTGGAACGCGAGATCACACCTTTTTATGAAGGAGGAAACGGTATAAGTGATGAATTTGAAGAAGGAATTCAGGACATTGTGCTGAGGCTTACCCAGGTGAAAACTGGAGGGAAAATTTCTCTACGCAAAGCAAGATACCGCACTCTGACAAAGATATGTACTGTTCAGGAGATTATAGAGAATGCTGTAAAGAAACAGCTGTCCCTGCCACTCTCGAATGATGTTCATCCTTCTGTCTCCAAAATTAACTCTGTAATGTGTGAGGTGAACAAAGCCAGAGGAACTCTCATTGCGCTTCTAATGGGAGTGAGTAGTAATGATACCTGCAGGCATCTGTCCTGTGTGCTCACAGGCCTCATTGCTGATTTGGATGCTTTAGATGTCTGTGGTCGCACGGAAATAAGAAACTACAGAAAGGAAGTAGTAGAAGAGATCAATAAATTGCAGAAATACCTGGACTTGGATGAAGAAGCAAATTCTACTCATGCTTATGATTTGGCAAAAAATCAGTCCATTCTAAAAATAGAAGAGATCCGTAAGAAGATGAAGGAAGTTCATTCCTTACTTCTCAAAACAGAGAATGCCTCTGATTTGTATCTGGGATCCAAAGCAGAGTTGCAGGGACTAATTGCCCACCTAGATGAAGTGAGTCCAGGAAAAAACCCCTGTATTAGAGAGGCCAGGAGAAGAGCAGTAATTGAAGTTCAGACTCTTATAACATATATTGATTTGAATGAAGCTCTGGAAAAAAGGCAGAAGTATCCAGAGCAAACTGCTGTAGAACATCAGTGTCATAAAGCAGTTTGGACTGTACTTGGAAACTTGTCTCAGATTCAGAAAGAGGTGATTTCGTTTGATGGAAACAGAACAGATAAAAATTACATGAGACTGGAAGAACTTCTTACAAAACAACTTCTAGCCCTGGATGCTGTTGATCCGCAAGGTGACGAGCGGTGTAAGGCTGCCAGGAAGCAGGCAGTAAAGCTTGCACAGAATATTCTTTACTATCTGGACATGAAAACAGATGAATGGGAATACTGAAACAGCCATGGCCTGACACAGAAGAACATTTTCCCCTTTGGCACCTTAGGAAGATCATTGGCAGCACATAATAAAGTATTCTGTGCCTGCTGAAATCATGGAAATTGCATAAGCAGTTGACTTGGCTATATGTCTGCTAACCCACGCAGTCACCCACTTGCCATGGCAACTGTCAGTACACCATCAGCAATTCTGGTCACTGATATAAGCAAAGAAGTGCAATTCTCTGAAGGAATAGCTTAATACTTGATCAAATAGCTTCTTCTTCTTTTTTTTTTTTTTCTCTTTTTCTTTCTTGTTTTTATTTCAATAGCTTTGTGCAATGTTCAGTGAATGCAGGTTTTTCAAATCACAGAAACTTCCTTATGGTACAATACTGGCAAAACTATTTAAGGAGACTGAACATGAAAATTAGTATTCAGGCATGAGGCTCCATCCAGCAACTTCACAGCAGTCTGGATGTCCTGTTAATGTGCTGTCATGACATTAAGTACTAAGGGCAAAAAGCCTGCTGGCTTTTGGATTGTACTTGATTTATTCCATCCATCATAGCATCTAGATATCTCAGTTAATGGAGCTATAATGCCAGCTGCAAATTAGCATTTACATAGGCAAAGCCAATTATGTCAATTTTTGTAATACCCGAGCCCTTTGATTTGCAAAACCAGGTCTTTTGTTGGTGGAAATTCTTTCAAGTTATTGCTTTAAGGTACTGAGATTTGGAGAGGAAAATCTGTACATTTACACCAAACAGATAAAGGGGATTTTGAGGATTTCAAACTGCCATCCATAAACCCTTGAAAACTGCACTGAACTTTCTTTAGTGGCTGCTTAGGTGTCTTTTTAAACTCTGCTGTTGCGTCTGGTTTTCACATTTGGCGAAAACATGAACAGACTTCACTTTGAAGTGAAATGTGCATTTTGGAATTATTTTTGTAAAATTAAGTAGCCAGCTGTAAAGATGTCCCTAATGATGTAAGTTTGTGCTACATGGTCAGGTGTGGCTTCGAGCATGTCTTGGAAGGACTTGTGGCAAATGTCTCTCTCTGCAACTCACTCACTTCTTTCAGAAGCTTCATAAATAAGCTTGCTTGTACTGTTGTATGCACCTACCTTTTTATTTGTGGCTGCTAGTGCCAATCACATTTCTACTATAGCATGGTTTTTGGCATTTTTTGAAAGCATGGCATTAAAATTATTTGAGTATATACAGATATATATAAAGAATATAGATATATATATAAAGGTATATTCAATTGTGGATAATTTGCACTCAGCTCTTTCAGGATGAACTAAGGAATTAATGTTCTATAGATGATGATTTGCACCACTTTAAGGAGTAAAAACTGTTTCAGATGTTACAATAAATATTTTTAAGATCTATTTTTGACTGATTAGAGAAGACAGTACTGTCTGTGAGAGACAAGTGCCTTTATGACACTGCTATCTTGCACCGTCATATGTAGATATAGGAACTCTTTACTGGCAGCTTGATACATTTGTAATCTTTACAAACTGGATTTTTCAGGTATATATCTAATTCTACTGTAGTATATGTCAAGCTAACACAGTACAATAGGTGACAGTTGCCCTATAGAGCCCTGAGAATGAGTATCAAATTTGGGAAATACATATTCTGCTTCAAAACTAAAGCATTGCTGTGGAGGTGGGGGAATTTGGGCAGGTCTTCTGTGCCTATTGCTACAAGAATAATTTGTTTGTTCATAACATACTATGAGATGTTGATTGAAGGCTGCATACCTTCAGAGTGTGAATAGATTTTGTTTGTGATTGTGCAGGTGATTGCTTTGCAAATCTACTTGCCAAAACCGACGTAATTGAGTACAGTGCCTAAGGCACGATTTGGCAATGACAGAATGTTTGTGGAGGATTCTTCCTGCTCCTTCAGAGACACAACCCCATGGAATTTAACTCTCCTTCACTAAAAAAAAAAAAATTCCCCTAATTAAAATTCCAACCTCTGTTTGAATATTATGTGGCTAACACAGACTATTAATAATGTTATACACCTGAATTATTTTACTCATTTCAAGCTCTCTTCATGTTTGAATTGCAACTTGTGATTTGCACTTAGATTTTTAGGAAAGATAAGGATTTGATATTGTAATGATGTTAATAATTTTTCTTTAGCATTACTGTCGGGTCTGCAGTGGTTACTTGTAGTTTGTTTGAACAATTTAGTGTCTGTGTTCTCTGGAAGATATGTGTAGTTTTATAAGCGTTTGAGCCTCTTATGTAAAAATGAGTAAGTATAGTTATCAGATCTGTCCTATTTTAAATGTGTCTTTTAGTTTTCCTGGATGGATTGTTATGCCTGCATCTCTAAGAATGCAAATGTGTAATGATAGTGTAATTTGGCTGACTGAGTAGAGTTCAGTAGCAAGATATTATGTGGATTAAGCTTTTTTCCTTTGTTCTGTACTCTGATAAATTGACTATTTAAATTTTGTGGTATAATCCTCATCTGGAATGGGTTTAATTCACAGTTTTTGCATGAATGAAAGTAATAAAATATATGTGCTTAACAAGAAAAAAAACGCAAAACAAAAAAAAACCCCAAAAAACCAAAAAAAGAAATGCACAGGTTTCTCAAAAATTTGCTTTTATGCTGAAGAATGTAATTTCTCTGTTTTTCATATCCAAAGATTGAGGGAGACACAACTTTTCTTTCCAATACAGCAGGCTAAACTAATCATCAAAATGTAAATGGACCAAATGGCTAAAGCCTGCATTTTAGTACTATAGTAAAATAGAATAACTTTTCTGTGTGCTGCGTTATGTACCTTAGAGCAAAATAATCGAGTGGATATTCTGGGGGAGAGCTAATCCTGCATCATGATTCCTATTTGTTAACCAA